GCCACACTGCAGTCCCTTCTCCTCCATTCTCCTCTTGGGATCTTGGGCACGCATGCACATGCACCCAATGTGAAGTTTGTGGGGTTTTTTAAATTATTTTATTTAATTTTATTATTTATTTTAATTTGAGCAGAGAGGGACAGTGAGAGAGAGAGAGTGAGAGAGAGAGAGAGGGAAAGTGAGAGAGCAAGCTGCCAGGTTCGGGACCTGAACCATGGTCTCCATGTTAGAAGTCCAGTGCCCTTAACCATCATGCCATCTGCCAGCCCCCCAACGTGAGTTTTAAGCTGCTGGATCCAAGACTCAAACCACAGTCAACTATGTGGAAGTCCAGTGACCTAACCATTATACCATCTACTGGCCCCAAGTCACTAGCATGCTCTCAGGAAGAAAATCTTATTTCTTCAGAAGAATGTAGTAGGTAGCATCTCTAATTTTTTTTTTCTTAACCAGTGAACTCTTAGTTTTCATTGAGTAAAACTCAGAGAACTTGGGCCAGCCCCATGTTCTGCCACATGGGCAACCACAGTCGCTGACTGCGTGTGTGTGTTCATGTGCCCCAAATCCCAAAGGGGTGGAGAAGGGGTTGCAGTGTGACTTCGCTCCATTGAGGGCTGCTTTTCTCCCTTCTTCCTCTTTTTCTCTCTGGCAATTGTACATACCCTCTGGCAATTAAAAACAAACAAACAAACAAACTCAAAAAGCCTGCTTTGGTTGTGCAGCCGTGAGACAGGCCTTTTCATTTCTCTGGGCCTCAGTCTCACATGGCCAAGGTCATCTCCGAGCTGTGCTATCATATTCTCAGCCTCTTTGTCAGCCCATAGCATCTGCTGATATGGCTTCCATGTTGTCTCTTTCTTTAGGTTTGATTTCGATGAAAACCAAATATTTCAGTCCCAGAGCCTTTGGCTCACTTCTCTTCCTCCTGTCTCCCCTCAACAATCGCTTCTTCCTCCTGCATAGCTGACTGCCTTCTCCCCTGTGATAACCTCTGATGACTCACGACCGATGGGAGGACGTCCAGAACCAAAGCTTTAGGACACACGGCTCACGGGTACCATCTGGACTATGCCCTTGCCACTGGCCCCTTAATCCTTCCCATACCCTGTCCTGTGGCCAACGCCGCTGGTTCGTCCCTGCACTCACTCTGTGTCTCACACCCGTATGCCTTCGCTCGAGCTCTTCCCCTAGTCTGGACACACTCCCATCCCCTTGTTCAACTCTTGGACCTCCATCGAGTGCCTCCGTCACTGACAGCCCTGGCTGCCACCCTTTTGATGATGTCCAGCAGGGTCACGCTTCACCCAGGCTGCTCCCTGCCAGGGACTGAACCTGGCAGGTGTACTAGAACCAGTGTAACCAGTATAGGGGCTTTTCCAGTGGGCAGCTTTAGGCCAGGGACTCCCCCTATGGCCTGGATGAAACTCTTAAGGTTCTCTGCCAAGATTCTTCCTACCCAGCTCGCTCTTCGCCTCCTTTCCCAGGTGTTAGCCCTGCATGGAATCAGACAGCTCTTCCTGCCTACCTGCTCCCTCACTCTTTATCCTTCACAGACCTCCCCCAGATGTCTTGTATGCCTGAACTTAAGATTCACTTTTCAGAGGCCAGCAGGTGGTGTGGTTAAGGTGCCGGATGCCCACATGGCCAACTGCAATTTGACTCCCGGACATGGCAGCTTGAAACTCATGCCAGGCACATGTGTGTGTGTGCGTGCCCAAAATCCTGAGAGGAGAATGGAGGAGAAGGGATTGTGTCATGGTCATCCCCCCGGGAGGTGATTTCTCACTTTCTCTCTCTGTCTCTCTAGCAAGCACACATGTGCTATCATAAAAAAATCTCTCTTAAACTTCTCAGAGACTCAATCTGACACCATCGATTTCCCTGCCTTGAGAAACAGGCAGAGGCAAGCACATTTTCATCCATGTTCTCACGGGCCTCTGTGGATGTCTGTGTTAGAGTACGGCTTGCCACATTTTCCCATCGCTGTTGCCATACGATGACCGTCACCATTGTGTCTGTCTCCTCCACTAGGCCACTCCTTAAGGTTGTGTTTCACGTCTCACATTCCAGCTTCCCTGTGTTTGGTATGCACAAATGCATGCCTGTTGAAGCAAACTGGGCCCATTTTTTGTTGGAAGAACTAAGTGGGCCTCTGTCGATGTGACTAGCATTGTAGGCCGGCATGCTGTATGGCTCTGGTCAGAGAAAGAAGCAGCCATATTGTTTTTGTATGTGATAAGGTTCTGTGTGCCACTAACGAGGCAGTGAACTCTTGTTTACTAAACTTAGATTTTTCAGCTATAGAGTACCCCAATCTTTGTTTTCCCTATAGGTACTCTGCAGTACATGGCCCCCGAGATCATCGACCAAGGACCTCGCGGGTACGGTGCCCCCGCAGACATCTGGTCTCTGGGTTGCACCATCATCGAGATGGCCACCAGCAGGCCTCCGTTCCATGAGCTCGGCGAGCCGCAGGCAGCGATGTTCAAAGTAAGCCCTGCTGGGTGACTGGGGTTGCTGGTGCTGGGGAAATACCATTAAAAGCCATCTCTCCACAGAGGTAGGAGAGAAGGAAAGCAGTTTTATTATTGAGCAGGCACTCATCCAGCATGAGAGGCATGTCACAGGCCATCCACAGAGACTGCAGAAACACAAAGGTGACCGGTTACCGAGCCAGGCAGAGACAGCCCGTTACATCCGTGCTCAAGTAAAAGGACCTGGTGGCACCACTGGTCACATCTAGTTCATCTTAGATTTGCCAAAGGAAAAAATGAACTTCTCATACCTTTTCTTTCTTTCTTTTTTTTTTTTGGAGAGGTTTTTGCTATAGGACGCGTGTGCTCGCCAGACAGACAGAGAGAGACAGAGACAGAAAGCGAGAAATCACCACCCCAGGGGGGATGGTCACGCCGTAATCCCTTCTCCTCCATTCTCCTCTCGGGATCTTGGGCACGCACGCACACGCGCCCAGCGTGAGTTTTAAGCCACCGGGTCCAGGACTCGAATCGCAGTCAACTACGTGGGAGTCCAGTGACATAGCCATTACACTAACTGCTGGTCCCAACTTCTCATACCTTTAAGACAGGAAGTCATTTTGGAATGGGGCACCACTGAAGTTTGGCACCTGCCTCCCCATAGAAACTGGGAAGGGGGCCAGCTGCAGTGACGCAGTGATAACGTAGCACTCTGCAGTGCTGAAGCCACGTGGGAAGGTCCTGGGTTCGTGTTCCTGGGCCTCCCTGTACATGTTAGGGGTGTGCTTGCCCTTGGCCCAGGCTGGCTGAGGGTGGGAGTGGACTGCAGTGCGAGGACCCTCTGGGGAGTGTCTGGCTGGCTGTCTCTCTGTCTTATGGAAGAAATAAAAAATAAACTTTAAAGTCAAAACAAAACAAAAAAACCTGGGAGACAGAGGCCTGTCTTCCCTGATGATTAAATTTCAAAGAGATCACTCCCCCCCCTCCAGGTCCTTGAGAAGGACCTTTCTAGAGGCTTATTTACCTGTTAAAAAAGATTTATATTTATCTCAAAGAATCATCTTTCTTTCTGAAGAATTTTTGAAGCCCATGTAATTTTTGGTTTTGTTTTCTTTTTTCTTTAATTTCTATTATTATTGTTATTAAATTTTGCTATGGGCACGTGTACTCACGAGAGAGAGAGAGAGAGAGAAAGCAAGCAGCCAGGTCCGGGATTTGAGCTGCAATTAGCCATGTGGTAGTCTAGCACTTTAACCACCATGCCAACCTTTCTAATTTTACCTGGAGCCAGAAGCCACAGGCCTGACCTTGGGCACACAAGGTTGTCATGGTATCAGTTTCATGTGAGGTCACAAGGAGAATGGGGGTGTAAAATGCCAAATGACCTCTGCTTATGGAGGATGAGGCCATAGTGCATGAATGCAGCTTGATGGAGTGGGATTTCAGGGCCCTCTTATTGGCGTCTCTGCCCAAACATGGCAGCTTCACAACCTGCATCCTTGCCAGGCCCTCCACTCAGCCTCTGGGACAGAAAGGACTCACAGGCGTGAATGCGAGTTGGTGCCCACTGAGCGGGTGCAGCACCTCACAGTGAGCTCGGAGTGCTCTGTGCTCTGGGGGCCTCGGCTGCTCTCTGCAGCCTGGCCAGGCCCCTGCAGGAGGTTCAGAGCTTCCCGCCCTCACCACAGCTGCTCAGGTGGCTCCAAGGCCAAGACCTCAAGTTGACTGGAGTCTTCTGAGCCCTGCAAACCCATCAAGACCCCAGAGCTGGAAGACTGCAAGGACCTCCCTCAGCGCTTCATGACTATCCACAGTGGACCCACTGGGCTATGGGAGAGCTGACCGTCAGCTTCTACCACAGACCTTGGAAGAAAGAGTAGCCGGCTGAGAAAACCTGGGGCCCATCTGAGAGTTATGGCTGCTGCCTTCTGACCGGCCGACTTCTATGAAACTGAGGAAACCCATCTGATGGCTGTGACTTACTCAATTCATCCACAGGGCAAGGGCGGCCCCCCTCTCCCTCTCCCTTCCTCCTGTTTTCAGTTAGCTAATGGACTGTACGCATTCTTTGAAAATATACCGACTTCGTCGGATGCCATATGACGTCAGTAGTTACTGTAAATGAGAAAGTTATTAAATAATGTCTCCTGTGTTATTTATTTCTGGGATCCTCGAATCCTTCAGAAAAATGTCAAGAGACTTCTGGGCAGTGTCTGAAATAAAGGAAACCGTCCATCTCCCGAGGAGACTGTTATGGCTTTAATGTGTCACCCAAAGTGATACATAGAAGTCCTAAGTCACACTTTCTCAGGATGTGACTTTATTTGTAAATAGGGCCTTTATAGAGTAATCAAGTTCAAATGGGGTCAGAAGAGTGGGCTCTAACTCAGTGCGACTGGTGTCCTTATAAAAGGGGAAACTTGGACACAGCTGGACGTACACAGAGAGGACGATGCAAAGACCCGCAGAGAGAACGCCACGTGAAGCAGCCGGGGATGCATCGGCGAGCCGAGGAACCTAGAGATGGCCTGCAAACCACCAGAAGCTAGGAGAGGCAAGGAAGGTTTCCTTCCAGGTTTTAGAGGGAGTGAGACCTTGCCAACACCTTGATTTTGGACTTCCAGCCTCCAGAACTGTGAGACAATCAACTTCTGTTGTGTAAGCCTCCCCGTTGGTGGTTGGCACTGCAGCCCTAGCAAACACGTATAGGGAGATTTGAGTAACAGCAAGGCCCCCCTTGCAAGTGCCGTACTTGCTGGCTCAGCTGCAGCGGGGTGCTACTAAGGACCAATGCTCCGGGCCCCACGGGGGGGGGGGGGGGCAGCTTCAATTTCCGGTCCCCCAAGGGCCAGGTGTGGTGTGTGTTTATAATCCCAGCAACGCAGACGCTGGGGCAGGATTGCAACCTTGAAGCCAGCCTGGGTGACATGGTCAGACTCTGAGAAAGCCGGGCATGGCGCTGTGTAGCTCTCGTCCCAGCTACTCGGGAGGTGAGGCAGGGGGATCGCCACATGGCAAGACCCTGTCTAAAAACACTGAGGTACTTGCGAGGGGCCAGGGTGCTGCCTGCATTTGCTCTCTTCTTTCTGAGAGCCAGAGGCAATTCCATCCCTTTCCTCTTCAGCTTCTTGTCCTGGCTTTGTCTCTGCGCTCTCTCGTGTCTATGGGGACTGCCGGCCTCTCTCCCCACCGCCCAGGTGAGGGGTACCTCCTATGCTGGGCCCTGCATTTCCGACTGTGCTAGAGCACAGCATAGACCATGCTGGACTGTGGCCAGCATTCAGTGCCCTCCAGAGCTGCGACTCCCGAGCGGCCCGTCTTGGCTGTGGGCAGCAGCGGGACGGAAACAGCCTGAGTCTGCCTGCCCAAGGGCCTTCAGGGTGTGAAATCAGAGGTGCTGCGGTTCGCTCAGTGCAGCACCCACATGTGATGCCGTAAGGCAAGGGAGGCCAAGGCATCCCCAGGAGTGCTGAAAAGCGGCTGGCAGGGGTGAGGGTCATGGATCTGGAGGACAGAATGACTTCTTCCCACTCCCACCCCTACCCCTCACAGGAACTTGAACATAACTTCAAAACACTCATGCACAAGACCAGCAGATGGCATAATGGCTATGTTGCTGGACTCCCATGTAGTCGACCGTAGTTCAATTCCCAGACGCGGTGGCTTACACTCACACCGGGCGCGTGTGCGTGCATACCCAAGATCCCGAGAGGAGAATGGAGGAGAAGGGATTGTGG